AAAAATCTGGTGATTTATTTGTTTGATCATTATCAAATCGAATAATATATTCAGCAATAAGACATGAAAGCATTTTAATAACATTTAAATGAGAATGTCGATCCTCATCTGAAAGACCAAGATGAATTCCAGGTCGAGCTTCAGACACTTCACTTGCTGTTACTATTTTAATAACAATTTTTAAAAAGGTTATATATTTGAAACAAAAAGAAACATCTTACATCGAAGTAATATTTCAACTGCTTGATCATGTTCAGTAATTGATACTTTATCAAAACGACTATATAAAAAAATAAAATGTTAGTCGAAAAATAAAACAAAAAAAAGAAATTTATACATAAGAATACTATAAAATAATGGAAATATTTCAAGCAGTTCTTTTGGTTCTTGGATTCGTGCATGATCTGAATTAGAAAAAAAAAACAAAAAGAAATTTAAAAAAAATTGCATTTAAATAAGAGATTTTTAAATACTTATTAAGGATGTGTTAATATCAGCAACATCAAGAACCTTTTGTACATAATAAGAACCAGTAAGATCTATAAATTGATCTGGTAGATCGAATGTAGAAGAAATATTAATCAAGGACATTCGTCTTTTTTTTTTTTGTTCTAGAATAAAATATCAAATGATCTTAATAATAAACAAGTATAGTCTAAAATGATGACAATGGTCTTTGTCATCATATAATGTTTCTATGATTATGTTCCGCCAATACTATTCATACTCAACGACCAATCAGTGACGATCTCTTAAACCGGACTACGGCGAGTAAAACTATTAGTACCAAAATTATTAAATCACTTTATAAGTTCAAAATGTAATATCAAAAGTTCTTGAAAAAAGCTCTACATATGTGACGCCCTCTATGATGCATTTGTCGATATTGATGATGCACTTTGTCGCCGTGTGGGCACTTACTAATAAATGTATAAAAGTAACTCATTAGTACAAAACGAGATGTCGCTCTGTTTAGCTTAAAAATAAAGGAGTTGCTGTAGGGATAAATAGAATAATGAATTCTTTCCTCTTATTAAAAATGTATGGATGTTTTATTTACTGTACTGCTGGACATTTCAACAACAAAAATGTTAAACCTGATAATAGTAGCTGTGAACAGAATGCTGACCTACCTCAGAGTCCTTCCACTCAATCATTCGAGCTA